ATAACTGGTGACCAAAAGAGGAGCTGTGTCGGCTGTTTGGAAGTTTATCAGTAAAGCCAACCAAGACAATGTTTTTTGCTTCAGTCCTGCTTCCTCTGCTTTTGTGCTGGATTTTGACTGCAGCCAGCGGCTATGGCAGCTCCTCACACACAAGATAATATGCTACTCAACGGTAACAGGTGTTTCCCCCCCAATGACTGAATAATTTGTGCCACAAAGTTTGGAGAAAACACATCCAATATGTGGACACATCCGATATGTGGTTCTTTGTCGCGTCACACAGCTCCAGTATAAAAGCATTAACACTAACGAGCCATATGCTGACTTTAAAAACAGTGGCAACAAGTGAAAAGCATAACGGGCAGCCTGTTAACGAATAGCCTCCTTATGTCAGATGTGTGATCATTTGTATGGTTGTGTAATTTTGTGTACTTTTTTTTTAATGTTGACAATTTTTTAAAATATATTCTCAGAAAAAGGGCTACTAGAGCTCCCTATGTAAAGACCTTCTTATCCAAGAATAGTAGTAGTAGTAACAATTCTGATATACTGTAAAACCACCAGAATCTTTTTTTGACACAAACTTTTGGCCTTACCGTCCAGAGCTAGATTAAATGACTAAAAACAAAGAACAAATGACAATGATTTTATCAGCTCATATGGGGCTGTAAAAAATGACATCTTTGAGAAATCATTTGACTTGCTAATAAATACTGAAATGAAATGGCAAAGAAAAAAGAAGAAAAAAGAAAAGTTTAGCTGAGATGAGTTTAGCAGAAAAGACTGCAAACTCAGCAGAGAGCTGCAGTCGAGTGAATATTTGTAAGAGGTGAGCTTGAGGTGAGCTGTGGCTCTGCACTGAATCTGGATGAACTGCATTATGGCATTTTTAAGTGCTTAAAAAGAAGGCAGGTGGACTTTTTGGTTTCTAAAGAAGCTTCTCTTCTCATCCAAGAATACTCTGCAGGTGTAGAACAAATAATGAGTCATCCCCCAGGTATTTAACCACTAGTGGGGGGGCTGTCCCCTTAGAGCTGGTCTAACAGGAACAAATGATACTGATTAATCACCAAAGCTGTGGGTCAAATCACCTGACCGGTGGTGAGGGATCTCAAGACTGCACTGTTGGTGGCTGACAGGTGGTGACTTATGACACCACCACTGTTCACCAGGAAGGATACAAAGAGAAAATGGGTTACCGTTCATGGACTGGGCTGTGCTTATTGAGATGGATCAAAGTCTCTGAAGTTTATCGGAAGTCCACACACAGAACAGTACCTGTTCTTTGACTCCCACCACCCTCTAGAATACCAACATGGGGAAACCAGGACCCTACAACACCAGGGAGAGAAAGTTCACTCATTATAGTATGTTGTGGAAATGGACAGCTGGAGAGCCACTGGCCAAGAAGTCATTCCTGTTATACTTATTTGAAGTGCACCACTTGGGTGGAAAAAATAAATAAATAAAAACACGCGGGAATGCACATGTCCGCACAGACCCTCGTGCTAAATGTCTCATGATAAAATTTACATCACTGGGACCATTGGGAACTTGATAAGAAGTCAACAACCCTCAGCACCCTCATCCAAGGGGACATCGCCCACTAGGGTTTAAATACCTGTGGCTCTACGTCAATTAGAAGAGGGAAAAAAACATCTTGGATGCGAGGCGAAACTTCGTTACACACGTAAAGAAATCCGACTGTCTTTTCGAGGAGACAACTGGATTTCTGGATGACTGAGAACCTCCACAGACATATTGCTTTATTGCATACTGCTCTACCTTCTTAAGTAATGCTCCTCAGATCGGTCTTTCCTGAATTAAATTATAAGAAAAAGTTTTTAACAATAAGAATGAAAACAATGAGTCACTGTTTAAAGAGCCTTTGCCAAATCATGATGTCACACCTTCTAACTTTCCGAGACTGGTCCAAAAACTCTTCCATAACCATTTGTTGTACCTCAGCTTTTGTATTAGGTTGCGATGGGGACATCTGCTTGTTTCTGCATCATTATAATGGTCTTTTGTAATCTTGTGTGTATGGATGATACATCTTCAAGCAAGGCAGGTGTTCCTCCTGGCACCCCTCACCTCTTAAGTTGACGTGTTATCAACAGAGCAGTGCTATCAGGGGGGGGGGGGGAAATCCCTCTGCACTCACCTAGTACAATTCAGTCCTCCAATCTATTTGGCAAGGGCCTCGAAAAACAATCATTCTGGCCATGCACCACTGCCTCCCATTATCAGTCTCATTTACCCACATTTGTCTCTTACATTTTCCTTTCCTCCTCCTCCGTCTTGCTTCCATCTTGTCTCCCTTTAATTGTCTTTGTCTTTCTTTGTCCCTGCCATTGTTGAGCTCTTGCTTTGTTCTGCTTTTTCTCACCTCTTCCTTGTTCTGCTCGCCTTACTTCCTCTTCCTCTGTTTTATTTGCTGATTCCTTTTTTCAATTTCTGTTTACTCCTGTCCTCTCCACTCTGTGGTGGAAACTCGGAGCGGTTCCCTCCAGTCCTACCCAATCTTCATTAACAGACTCCTTCATTTCATCTGCTGCTAACCCATTCAACACCACTTGTTTAATCTCTGTTTACCCCCACCCTTCCCAAACCTAAAACATACACACCCTCACATAATCTATAATTGAATCCTTCACACACACTAGAGTCCCAGCATGGCTAAGATGCCAATTTGAACAGCAGCACACGGTTGCACAGTCGCCCTCTCTTGTTCTGACTCCCATGTCCTCTCCACAGATGGCTATAACAGGAATTTCATTCTTTTTCTCAGTATCCATTTAATTAGCTGGACTCGAATCACGCGGTGTAATGTTTGTCTTCACAAAGGGAGTGCAATAGGGGCAGGGGGAGAGGCACCAGTTGAACACAATTTTATACATACATTTACAGCAAAAGGCTACATGCTAGCCTTGGCCCTGACCCGAAGGAGAATGTTTTCTGAGGAGAGTACAGCAGCTTGTACAGTAACTACTGCCATTCTTTTCTGCTACAATGCTTGTTTTCATTCAGAAACAAAGAAACGTAGACTCAGCGTGGAGCCATTTACAAGATTAGTGTTGTGTTGTGGTGGTTCTGCCTTTGGCAGTGTGTGCTAGTTTTTTTTTTTTAAACATTCGCATAAATTAGTAACTAAAAGCCTAATATAACAGAATACAGTTCAACAGCTGTATTTAAAAGTCCCTTATCAGCAAATATTTGATTTGCAAAATACTTTGATATGTAAAATATTGAGAATTATCAGGAACGGCTGCTTCATTATGGCAAAAGAAATCAACCTGCAGCTGTGTGGCAGTATCCTTCTTGTGCTCTGCAGCCTCAGCAAGTCTGGCATGTTAGCATATGCTGCAGGTTCTGGTTGGAGCTGCCCTCCAGCTCTTTGTGGAGCTCCAGGGCAGAAGAAAGGGTATCAATGCCAACTGGAGTCCAAGATGCTAGAGAAGGGAGAAGATGAAAGGACCGGAGCTAACTGAACTTTGAAAATAACTCCAGATGAACAGAATCCAGTTTTGGGGATTTCTTTACCTGGATGATTTGAGCATACTTTGTCATGTTATCTTAGAAAGGACTCGAATAACTACACATCTGTGACACGGTTAAATGCTTATGCTAGCTCACTACACAAAGAAAAGAGCAGCTTTACTGTGACAACACAACAACCCACTTACTTCCATAAAGTTCATCTTTAGTTCTTCCAGAATTGTTTTGATAGATGATTAATCTTTGAAATGGAGTATGAGTATAAAAACAAGTGATCATTTTAATCCTGTACTGTTTTTTTAAAAAATTGGCTTGTGTGTCACACTGATTTTAAAAAAAAAAAAGTGTCGCTCTTTGCTGCTTAAAGTGCTTTTTATACAAAGTCTCTCTCTTGACTTGACTTAAATTATAGACCCAATGAGCTTGCCAAAAAACAGTGTAATTGGGCCGTGGTTATTACTGGATTGTGGGTTTAAAAGAAGAAAAAAAAGGAAGATAAATGGGCTTGTGGTGGGATTAAATCAATGATCAGGGCATGTAATATTAAATCTGTCTCATCTCTCATAGTGCAGAAGATCTCATCTTAATTTGTTCTGTCATGCCAAGCCAAACTGCACCACGAGGCTTTAAAATATTGTCACTTTTCCCACAAACAAAGCTAAGATCTATCTTCTAATGGATGAGATTTATAATCAGATAGAGCAGCCTGCCCCATCTGCCAAGTAAAGAACTGCTCGAGGACTGTTAATTTTTTGCATTTGGGTTGATTGGCTGACCAATGGGCTGGCTAGCTTGAGGAGGTGAGACCACCTTGGTCTGGCAGTTATCGATTTCCCCCATTTTCAGCTTATCTTACGCGTTGCTGGCTACGATAAAGCTTCTTGACAACATCGCACACTGCCGTTCTCCCTGGTAGTCTCTCTGAGATTGATCATTTTAAAGGTCACTGTTGAATGCGTTTCTGTTGTGAAGAGTGTGTGTGTGTGTGTGTGTGTGTGTACTTTTTCTTTTTTTAATGTAAATGTGTACTCTTACTTTCTGTGTCACCCCGTGGCTCGGAAGAAGAGCTTGTTTACAAGATGTTGCCTCTGGTCTACTCTGAACCAGCCTTATCTCTCTGACGGCAGCTGGCTGTTCCATATCGGCTATGATCATTGCGCTGTGATTATTAAACTTCTTTCAAGGATTAAAAGTTATGTATTTTTAGCACTTTCAGCCATACTAAGTGTACTAAGCTCCCTCTTTTTTTCTTTTTTCTTTTTTTACACAAGCTTCTGATTTGATGGTGTTTCAGCAGTGAATAAAGCAAATAAAGTAAACCAGCAGGGCATAGGGCTGTCTGCACTCCATGCCCACATATCATATTTTTCTGGTGTATTCTGAATAGTGCCGAATGTCATTATAACAGAAGGTATACATATCCTTTTTTATGTTGAATTATACATGGTCAAAAAACTGCTTTGAGGCTTGAATTGTTTTCTGCTCTCTGTTTGTCCTCTTAGGTCAAATCGGTGAAGACGGGCTCCGTATTCTGGACCATTGGCTGTTGTCTGTCCTATTTCTACATGGTAAGAATATTTTGCATACAAACTCAAACACAATGGGTAACTTAGTAGGGTTCTGACTAATTTAAACCTGCAAAACTGATTGATGCTAACCCTCTTTAGTATGGTTTTTTTTTTTTTTTTTTCATTTTATAGTGAATAAAATGCATAATGCATTGTGTCTCAAAGTCATTGTAACAGGCGTACTTCCTGTCTTCTAACGACCATACAGTGTAGTCGATAATAAAAGTAATTGGAGCCTAGTGCAATTAAGATTATCAGTTCTGGTTCCAGGCTTCTTAATAGCGACTCTTGACAAACAATTTCTTTCTATTTCTTATCTTGCTATTTATTACTATTGGATTTTTTTTTTTGCATGACTGCCATAACATCACGATCATAAAATCACCTATCATTCCAATTTTTGTGCTTCAGTCCTTCAAAAATGTAAACTAACATGTATGCAGCAGCAAATTTGTTAGGTACGCGTGTTCCACTGCCTGTTAAATATCTAATTACTCAATCACATGGTGGCAACTCTGTATATTTAGGCATGTAGACATGGGCAGGATACCTGCTGAAGTTCAAACTGATGCAGTTTGAACTTGGAGTTGAAAATTTAAGTGACTTTAAAACAAGTAGTCTGAGTATTTAAGAAACTGCTGATCTGCTGGGATTCTCCCCCACACAACCATTTGTAGGGTTTACAGAGAATGGCCTGAAAAAGAGAAAATATCCAGTGAGCGGCAAGACATTTACTCTGGGCGAAAATGCCTTGTTGATGCCAGAGGTCAGAGGGGAATGACCTGACTGCTTCAAGCTAATAGGATAGCAACAGTAACTCACATAGCCATTCGTTAAAACCAAAGTGTACAATTGTTTAAATACCTGAATATTGCTGGCCACGTTCATTCGTTCATGACCACAGTGTACATCATCTGATAGCTGCTTTCAACAGGATAACATCACAAAGCTTGAATCGTCTCCAACAGGTTTCTTGAACATGCTCAAATTGCCTCCACAGTCACTAGATCTGTTCAGTAGAAGACCTTTGGAATGATGTGGTGCAATTGTAGATTTGCATCACTGATGTGATTTGCAGACAAATCTGCAGAAACTCTGTAATTCTTTCATGTCAATGGAAACCAGAGGCTGAGGAATGTTTCCAGCAACTTGTTGAACCTGTGCTACAAAGAATTAAGGCAGCGGTGAAGGCAAAAGGGAGTCCAACTGCGTACCTGAAAGGTATACCTAGTATTTCAGGAGTCTATATTATATATGAAGCAACTTCCTAATAGAACATTTCACAATAGTTGCGCTAGAATGCACTGGTACCGGTGGATTCTGAGGAGACATTATGTTCTCATGCTGTAGCATGTGCTTCATCCTGGCGGCCAGACTTTCTCCCTGCTGTGGAATAATTTTCTTACACTGCAGCTGACGTCTGTAAAGTGCTACCTGCGGCTCTTGTCTGCGATTTCTAAGATCCTTGAATACTATATTTAAATACGTGCTGATTGAACTGTTCAAAACACAGAAGGTCCTTTGCCTTTGGTTCATAGAACTAGCCTGTCTTTCTTGGCATGCTCGTGTGTGTGTGTGTGTGTGTGTGTGTGTGTGTGTGTGTGTGTGTGTGTGTGCGTTCTAGTTCGGGAGTGGGCGATAATTTAAGAGAGGAAGCAAAGAAAGAGAGGAGCAGAGATGGTAGCATTGGAGTGGCTGTCCACTCAATCTAGCAGTCACATGGTGTTGCATGGAAACTTGGAGGGACGGTTTATCCGGTGTTTCCTGCCTTATTTATGAATCCGGGCACAAGCTCATCCAGGGAGTTGATGACAGGGATTAGATAAAAAGACGGTCCAAGCACAGTGCGTCAGGGACAGATTGTTTGCATTGTTTTTCTTGGTGTGTGTGTCACGGTCACGAGTGCCTGTGAAATCTCGGGCTTCTGGCTCATTCCAGACTAAATCTCTGTGGCCATCAGTGGGAGAGATGTCAAATGAAACAGATTACCAAAATCCAGCTTCATCGATCAGACTCTGTCCAGTGGGTGTGTGGACAGATAGGACTACAGAGAAGAGTAGTGGAAGGGTGAATAGACGAGAGAATGGAGACAAAGGGATGGAGAGATAAGCAGGGGGCAAAAAGATGGTGACAAATACAGAATGATAAGACACCACAAGGAGAAAACATTGCGATGTTCTAGATGGAAGGGAACACTGTGTCTCCATGCTTCTTTCTCCTTATTACTACTTCCTCTCCTTCACACCTGCTCTCTCTCTCTCTCTCCCCCAATGTTTCTCTGTACTGTCTGCAGCTAACCTCCCTCTGCAGATGACACTAGGTTTGTACATCTCCAACAACACCAAGGTCCTAACAGCACCCGCTTTCTCATATTGCACACAAAGAACTGCAAACACTGGCTAACCCGCCTTTATTTATTTATCTTTAACCCACTATATCATGTGATGCTGTCAGTTTAATCAGGAAATAGCCAAAACTATGTTTTCCCCTGGGGCTTAATTGAATGTGTCATTTTCAAGGCATATATGGAGACAGAGGGTGAAATCCCCTGCCTAAATGTTGGTATAATCAGAAGAGAGGGGGCAGAGAAGGATGAGATTAAGAAGAGGATCTGAGCAGTTGGAAAGACTGATGGACGGGAGCCACAGGAACCTTTCTGGCAGCTGTGCAAAATCCTCCTTTCAACCCTCCAGCGGTGAGGCTGGAGTAAAGGAGGGAAAAGCTGTAGAGAGCAAAAACAGATGCATGCATCAGCTGCGCTGTCTGCTTGTTAAATCCAGAAGCACTGGCTTATTCTTACTTTTAAACCCTCCTATAGTAAAGAAGCCTGTAATTTCAGGGCATGTCTGCAGCTCCTTCACTTAATCAGGTATTTATTTCTTGTCCTGAATGCTAGGGCTGTACCTGAGTTTTGGATTATGTCAGTTCACTGCATTGTCAGTACATTTAGCGACTTTATAGTCCTCTTGCATTATTTTATTTTTCTATTTGAAAGTGATGAGCTGTTACACTGATCCATCATCTCCAAATGACAGAAAATTGAAAGATTACATTACTGTGCAAGGTGTATAGCTGTCCCTCTTAATATTTTGCTTCCAGTCAGCCAGACTTGCTTGGCATTTTGAGGTTAGTCTTGAGTGAAAGTTCTCTAGGTTTTCTGAAGGTTTTGACGTTTTCCTTTGGACATTAGCTGCTTTTTCATTCATACCTGATCATTTTCAGATGAGCACATGTGTATTTCTTTGGTTTGTGTTTAAGCCAAAACACTGACTAAAATCATTCAAGCATCAAAAACACAAGAAGCCATTCTCAACGAAGGTAAACTGGGAGAAAAAGCTGATGTATACCAAATTATTAATATAATTAGATTAGATATCTTGTAGACATGAATTACAGTAGGTTGACTCATCATATGTGAATCAGTCTCTCCCACTGGCATTGCATACGTTCTTTCCCTTCATGCGGGAAGTGAGAACTGAACTCCCTGGTGTGTTTCTCTCTGTCGTTCACCAGTACGAACTTGGAGCGCTGTGGAGTGAGTATGCTAGCCTGTGTGTGTGTGTGTGTGTGTGTGTGGGCCCCACAGTATGCATTATGGAGGGAGAACAATACAATTTATTTCCTTTTTTATTTTTTGTAAATAATCAGTGGTTCCTAGTGAAGGCACGTAGCCTGCAAACACTTGTGTACAGATGATGTCCACACATCGTGCACACACCCATTCAGAGTAAAGCCCTTCTCTGTGTTGCGTGCTGTGTTCTCTATAGCCTCTTCAGAGTGGCCCTGTGGTCATCAGATAAGCCAGCTATGAAATGCAGAGAGCGATAACGGCTAAAAGACTTGGCTCCAAACATTTTCTGATTCCTGCCCTCTGCTGTTACCCTGTGGCTCGGGCTAGACTGTCGTTTAGAGCTATAATTTCAAATGGAGCTTGTTCCTGCTCTTTCACACAGGATTGTCTTTTATCATGAACATTAGACAAATCCATGGTGCAAATCCGTGGACTTAATTGCAATTTGTCACCTGCCATTATCAGTTTAAAAGAAAAATATTTTTTCTGCTGTTTTGTGATGTATTTAAAGCTATTTAGTGAATTTTACCTTTAAACATGGAAGCATAGTCACTGTTATTGTGCTTATTGTACCATTTAGCTCAAGGCATCATTATCCTCAAGTGTAGTCTCAGAGAGAAGTCTTGATTAAAAATATATTGGGCTTGGTGCTAATTTCTCAGGATATCAAGCATGGAAATCTATTTCTGGCTCCATGTTGCAGTATGCCCTGCGTTACAGCTCATTTGGTACAGAAACTCTTAAACCTTTCATTTTCTACAGCTGTAAGACAAAAATGTGCTCATTTCGTCCACAGATCGATTCTGGGACCCCCACCCTCAGGGGGCCTGACAAGCTGGTGTACTCCCAGTCTGGAAAAATGTATCAGGAAGGGTATCCAGCGTAAAATCTTTGACAAATGAAGCATGTGGATCCATCCACTGTGGCAACCCCGAGGGAAACGTGGGAAGCAGCTGAAAGTATCAGTACAAATGATAGTGACCTCACTTTTGTGTTAATAACAATTAGGCCATTGGAATTTCTCCAGACTTCCGCTTCCACGCTTGTGGCCTGATTCTCTTATACCCAAAGCGGAAAAGCAAGTTTTTAAAAAAGTGTTGTTGTAACTTTGAGTCGTTAATGCATTTAAATAATGTTCTATTCAGAGCGATCAATATTTTAAACAGCCTGTTTTCATTAAGTTTAACCTGATGGAAGGAGGTGGTATACTTGATTTATTTTATTTTTTTAAATTAACACAAGCGACATATGGACTTATTTTATTACCCTTTTCTTTAAAAAGGGGCACATTCAGGAGAGAGCAGCAGTCCTAATGAGCTGTTTAGAGCTACATTTTATTATAGCCGTAGCTGCTTAATACTTCAGGGAGCTCGGTTAGTCTTGGTTCTATATTGTGTGGGAATATTGATTATTAAACACTCCTCCACATTATTCAAACTCCCACTCTGCATTATCTGTTTTCCTGACTCTGTCATGCTTATACAATTTGCTGGAGACGATGTTGCGATTGGTTCGAGCTAGCTGCTAGTGCTTCCTGGATGGTAATGTCATTGGCTTGACAGGCAGGGATGTAAACATCTGCTCAGCTGCTCAAAATAGACTTTGTAGCATCATCGTGACAAAATAGAGTGCCGGACATAACTGACACACACGTACATAATGTTGTGTTTGGCAAACACAGCAGACATGTTGCATTTGGTCGAGTCGAGTGCAGCAGCTAGCCTCCGTCACTGTGCTCCTACTGTGATGTTTACAATTAGTTCCCAGCAAGTCAGCAGCAGGGACTCGATTAGCCATCCTTGTGTCAACAGTGAAAACGATACTTAAATTGAAGTCATCTCTTGCATCCACATAAGTCACGGTCCGCCTGTTACTAATTGACTGTCAACATCTGAGTGAACAGATGCGAATGACTGCCAAAAGATAATTACACTTGCGAGGAACTTATTTAGAAATTTTCCTTTGGCTCTGTTTATTCATTGCGGGATATTATCGTTTATCAATTAGACATGACGCATGCTTATTTTTCCTGTGATTGTGAAAGTGTAATGAATGATCTTTTCAGCACATTTAACAGGTACAATGGGGGATCTCTCTCTCTCTCTCTCTCTCTCTCTCTCAAAAGCTGTTGTGAAACAGTTTGCATATGTTATTCTGATTCCTCCCTCTCTGCTCTCTTGGCCTCTTTCGAGGTTTCACATTCTGGCACGAACATGCTTTCACTTTTCCTCCGCCGCTCGCTCTGCCATGCTTTCACTGTGTACTTTCACTTTTTCTCCATCCTGTTCTGTCTAATGCTCTCACCATTTCTATTTGCCCTTTGCAAGTACAGGCAACTGAAAACTTGTCAGTGATGGGTTTTTTCTTTTTCTTTTCTTCTCTTCCCCACTTTTGGGGCCATAGTTTTATGGCCCCCACATCCACAGCTGTGAAACCCAGCAGACCTCAGAAACTGTATAATTTTAGTAGCGCTTTTAAAGTTATTGGTGCATCTAACATGTAAAGTATTACTGCCAGCCTTTTATTGAATCTGTATATGTCTGTTTTTCTTTTTACAGCAGTGTGCCTGCATTTAATAGTGAAGCAGCAGTAAAGAAGATTTTACATCCGTTGAATTAGTCTGTTCAGGTTTTGGTTGGTCAGAGGATCCAAGGCAGTAATAGTCATTGCCTCGAGCTCAGAGACGCTGCAATGGCATTTTTTACGGTTTTGGTTGACATTATATAGAGTGAGCCATTAGCTGATTGTAATTGATGATAAAAGTAAATGCTTTTTGCAACAGTTGTTTATGACTACTTCTGTTTGAAGCTAGTGAGGAAACGTGAGGTTAAGTGGTTTGAACAGTTTGAATTAACACAACAGATTGAATGTTGCCAGATGTTTAACATTCATTTGGGGGTTCCAACACTGTTGCAGAGGAAAACGTAGCCTACATGAGCCATTTTAATGCTTCTAGTTCTATGACTGCACAGTTTTGCCTTTCTATTAGAGATAGGATTTTACACTAGACAGCTGGTTGCATTGTTCTTTGTTTTTCCTGTTTCTACACAAGCACCGACTCTCACAGCAACACACGGGCTGTATTGGTGTGACACCCGGCAGTTGTTAGTATTCTTCAGATTTTGCTGTTTAGTGATGGTTGCCAAGCAGCTTGTTGACACATGACTGTCACCTTCTGGTGCCAGTGTCATATGTCGTGTCATATGAAATCCAAGCACTCGTAAAAATGTGTTTTTCTTTCTTTTTCTTTCCTTCAATTTTTTTTTAATGACTTAATGAGCATTGAAGTCTTAAACATACCTATATTACAGTTTCTTTACAAACTTTATGCAAAGACAGACTTTTCGGTCCAGTTAAAGGGAAAAAAGAGATAATTTAGAGCGTGGTTACCTTTTGATTGGCATGTTATGAGAATAGTGTCCTCGCTTTCAAAGTTAAACACACCCGCTCGCTGACGATCAGCTTTAAGCGCCAAACAGTGACAATGAAAATGCCAAACATGAGACCACAAAGCAATACATGACAAAATCATTGGTACCTCCGTGTTTTACATGGGCACCACCCACTCACAAAAAACTGAGTAATGATGAATGTCCGTTTACTGACATGTCTGTGTATTTGTGTTCTAGGTGTCGGCGTGGGGAGGTTACGTGTTTATTATCAACCTGATCCCGCTGCATGTGTTTGTGCTGCTCCTGATGCAACGCTACAGTAGGAGAGTCTATATCGGTAAGATGGTCCCACACGCCAAACACGAGCACAGAGCGTGCGAGCACTCGCGCGAGACGACAACTTTCACCGTGCGGCTTGATATTTAAAACTCGCCCACATACCCGACTCTGTATTGGAGACTCGCTCGTGTTTTTAGATCTTCTCTCATTAGAATATGAATGTGGGAACTATACAGGAAAACCACCGCTCATGCACACATACATCTCACAACATGGCTGCCCGAGCATTTGACCCTGAAACAAGCTCAAATGCCCAGTCACGCCTGTGCCCGTCTCTCACAACAGCAAGCATCATCAGCAGACATCTATACACCCACGCACCACTTAGCAGTAAATGTATCCACCTGCTACCTGATCCTCTTTATTCTTTATTTATTTTTCTATTCTTTGCATATACCGGAGGTAGAGAACCGGTGAAGTGGGTAGGCTTGTTATCCCACAGATAACATCCGAGTTTCACGAATGCATGTGGTGGCTCCAGCACGTTATCCGTTGCCTCGGAGAACCCTCCACCGTCCTCAGCTCGGGATGAATTCATAGCAGACGCCACTATTGTGGTCAAGATAAATGATACCATGTCAAGTATCATCTCTGCATGATTATATGTTGTACTCACTGTAACTGGTAAGCACAGTCTTTGAGAGCACTGAAAATAAATTATCGGCTCTTCACCGTAAGAGGGCTTTGACCTACCTTTGCTCCTACAACAATTAAACTCTGCTTGGTGAAGCAGGGCTGTTAGAGGAGGTGGAAAAATTTCTACAGTCTTCACTGTTCCTCAAGAATAGCTGCCTCATTCATCATGCCGCTTTTCGTAGTAAATGAAAGATGGGGAAATATATTTGTAGACTTATTCCGATGACAGAAAAAGACACCTGCTCTATTCCTTACCGCCTCTTTTCAGAGTCAGGTGTTGTTCAACTGCAATGAAGGAACACATAAAAAAAGCAGGGAGGTTTAAAAAAAAAAGAAAGAAAATCCTAGTTTAATAAAATGCCTCGTAGCCTGTTCCCTCGCAATTCGTCTCTGTCTGTCATGAGTCAATAGCAGATGTGTGGAGAGAAAAAAAGATCGCTGAGGGCGGTCAGAGCTACTTCAAAAACGAGGCACACTCTTCAGGAAGAGTATGAAATCTTAATTAAAGTGGTGCATCTGCGAATTGGTTTCCTGAAGCTACAATGGTGGGAGTTGCACTGTTCTCAGCACTGTCATCTCACTTCAGGCCTCCCGACCACACCGCGCCGAGCCAACTCCCATTTTCTCAGTAAATGACATCGGATTAGGTATTTTGTATTTGCTCCCTCTGAGGTACAACAGTAAAAATCAATAGACTTTAAATACCCCTACCGAAGTTGAGTTCCCTCAGTCGAACCCATATTGTGCTTTTTTTCTTCTTCTTAGTGTCGTTTTATTTTAATGATTTTACCTGTTTCTCCGCTGTTCTCCTCTCTACAGCTTACAGCACTTTCTACATTGTGGGCCTCATACTGTCCATGCAGGTCCCTTTCGTCGGCTTCCAGCCAATCAGGACGAGTGAGCACATGGCTGCTGCTGGTAAGTCTCACCCTCTGTACCTGCAGTATGAATGATCCTCTATTCAGCCTGGAACAACAGGTTCCCCTTTACAAAGCTCAAGCCACCTGATGATGAAGTCAGCAGTATTTGGAAGATACTGCTGCTCTTTATTCCAAATTTATGACTCACTCATAAACAGATGTCACAAATACATGAATGTAAAAGCATATTTCTCTTTATCCTACCTAAAGCAGGAACAAGCAGTTATTTGTGCTAACAGCTGATCTAATCAGTATGTTTATATTGACTGAACAAATGTTCAGACTGTTCCCTTTAACTCGGATAAAACACTTCAGTTATTATGTGCCTTGAATTTCAATAGAGTAGTTTGGAGACCAACACTGTGTGAAATGTGGTTGAATAAAATAATTGAGCAATATATCTCTCAGGACCTTGCTCATCATATGGACGCATTGCAGAAATTATAATTCAAAGCTGTTATTTCAACTGTCTGCTGTGACTGTCAGGGAATTTCTGCCACAACCATAGACTGTAAATAAGAGATGGATGTAGCCACCTTGACATCACCTGTTAGTTAGTGATATCCCATTTTAACGCCTCAGACTGAGCGTTATGCCCATTGCAATCTTGGATTTATGAAACCAGAGGTGATGAGTGAGTAAGCCGGCTGCTCCCTTGTGTCCCAAGGGGTCACCACAGGGAATGGATCCGATATCTGATTTGGCACAGATTTTATTCCAGATGCCCTTCCTGATGTAACTCTCCCCGTTATCTGTGCTTGGCACCTGCACAAGGAATACACTAGTCTATGTCCTGAGGCTGGGTTTGTCTCCCCCCTCTTGGGCTTACCCCATCTTTCACTTCCAAATGTGATAACCTTTACAACAGAGCTGGATCAAAACCTGAAGAAATGCGCTCATAAGTTAGTGACCTGCCACTGGCAAAGTAGCCATAGCATGAAACATGCCCTACTTTATCATATTTTACCCTAAATAGGACCATAATTTGCAAGTTGAATATCATTCTGTATAAAATGGTGCTTTTCTGCTCGAGCACTCAAATCACTTTGTACAACGTACTTCACCCATTCACGTAAGCACTTTTTTCTACCTGCTTTCTATCTAACATTCACTCTCAGATGAATGCATCTGAAGTTCAATCATTCTGATTAGTAGATGACCTGCTGTGCCTCCTGAGCTACAGCCAATTAAATAAGATTTGAACCCAGTGTTTAAGGCCTGGAATTTCACTTCAAGTCACTTCATCTGCATTTAAATAGCACCAAATCACAACAGCAGTTGCCTCAAGGTGCTTTATATTGTAATGTAGAGACCCTACAATAATACAGGGGAAAAAAAACAATCAGGTGGCCCCTTTTAAGAAAGAATTTGGCGACACTGGGAAAGAAAAACTCCCTGTTAACAGGAAGAAACTGTCCTTCCTTCAGACAGAAGCAGGCTCAGGTTGGTTGTGTGTGTGATGAGAAAGGCATCAGGAAAATTATAAGGTGAGCTAAAGAATTGTTTTTTTTACTAAACTTCTTTTCAATCTTCTTTCTCCAGCAAGAGGTGTCGCCTCCTGCTGACAGTGAACGATATTGCAGGTTCATTTTCACTTACACACTTGTTTATAAACTCTGGCCACAAATGGAAAGTTAGGTCTTATTGCAGTTGTTTGTCTATTAAAGCTGGAACTGTGCAGGCTTGGTTGATGTCCAAAGCACCCTCTGGTGATTGCACATGCTCTAAGAGTGGTTGGCTGCTGCAGGAATTGAATCCCCTTGTGCCTACAGTGATAGTCACGCTCTGTCTGCATGAGAACATTGGTACATCTATGAAATGGATATGGGTAAGCACCTACATGCCACCCATATGGGCTTAGCTCTTTAAGCACTGTTCATTTTGGCTTGTGGGTAGCTTATTAAAGCTTGTTGAGTATCGTCTCTCAAGTGTGAGCCCCATCTGCTTGCTGACAGCATGGATGGGTACGTACATATGTGCACGATTCATTTACGTTGTTGGCAGCTTTAAGAAGATGAGCGGAGGCCTTTTGGAGAATTCACTTAACGCCACAGCAGGTAGGTGTACTCTGAAGTGTCCCTGTTTTCCTGGATCTCTCCAACACAAACAGCATTACGAGAGGCTTTGAAGAATGCACCATCAAAAATCATCTCTGCCTCTCTGCGTTTTTGGCTCCCCGCTCGCTCTCAAAGAGCAAGTGTGGTTTTATGTCGCTCTGGGTAGCAGCTGCTCAGAACATCTGGTGGTAGCATTCACGGAGCACAGTGGGAGGCAGGAAGAGAGTGACAGAGCAATGGACCTGTCGGTACCGCTGAGATGTCGGCCCCTGAGGCAGGAAAGCAGAGTGGCATGGTGTGACAAGCGTGTTAGCGTCATGGCGGCACTCCAGGAGACAGGCAGGGGCTTAACCTTGGAAATGGGTGAGACCTGCTGTAGGCGATCGCTGAGGGTGGAGAAAAGCAGGGAAATATCACAGAAGGTTTGTTGAAAGGTGGTAGGTGATGAAAAAGGAGAGGGGGGGATAACAGGATCTTTTCACGCTTTTCAATTTTTTTTTATATCAAATTTGCCAAACACAGGCACGCTGGGGAAAAACAGCTCAAAAAAATGACAGAGGAAGGAAACGGGAAAAGCAAGTATAACCTAAGGGGCTGAAAAAGAATGACGAGACAATAAAAGGAGAAAGGTTTATTTACACACATTTGTTCCATGCATTTGAAATATGCTGTCCAGCAATATTCGTCTTTCACATCTACGTGAGTAGCCAGCAGGGCTGTTGTTGAGTGCTTTATGGGTATACTGTTTAAAATCGCAGTGCTTCTCGACCGTGTAAGCTTGTTTTGCTCCCTGCAGAATGCAGCATCAGTAGGAACCTCCTCAAATATTCAGTGTGAGTTTCCTCTGTATGTTGGCTCACGTTCTTCTATCTTTTTCTCAGGTGTGTTTGCACTCCTCCAAGCCTATGCGTTCCTGCAGTACCTAAAGGACAGGCTGACCAGACAGGAATTCCAGACACTGTTCTTCCTCGGAGTCTCTCTCGCTGCTGGTGTGGTCTTCCTCACAGTGATCTATCTCACATACACAGGTCTGTATGTCCTGATGCACATGCTGCTTCCATACATTGTAAGCTGTGTCATTTGTTTGTTTTCAGTTCTCAGAGTTTTTAAAAAAAATCATCTTAAAGGGTAAAGTGTGTAAAATACCACTACTAGATGTGAGCAGTCAATTCTGTTTTCTTACCCCTTCCATTTCAACTGCATAATCCCAGCTGCAGTAGGACCTGATCATTGTTTATCTACACTGAGAGTAGGCTGTCAGTCTGCTGTTTACCTCAGCTGTCAATATACTTTGTTTCCACATCTAATTACTTTGGAGGCTCTAAAACTTTGTGTTGAAAGCTGATACAAGTCAATGAGTCAGTGACGCTGACTTCCATCTGACAGCAATACTGAGGTTAGTTGTTGAGGATATGCTGAGTGGGTAAGGAAAGCTGTTTATGTTGTGTTACCTGCTGTCAGTGAAACTTTCTTTGAAGTGACTCGGCCACTTGTAATCATGCTGTTTTATTGGAGGGAAAGTGTGATATCCCCCCCCCGAAAGTCTTTTTTTTTTTTTTTTTTTTTTTTACATTAGCTAGCATAATATAGTTGTGGCAATGTGGTAATCAATAAGCATGTTTATGCACATTTTCATGTGTTAGTCCTGACTTAAGTTGAGGAGATTAAGTTTGAGGTGAAGAGGAAGAGGAGGGGAAATGAGGAAGGAAATGGAGCAGCGGTGGACAATTGGAAAAACACAATGACAAAGAGATGATAAAATATACAGGTGTAAATGTTGATTGTTTGCATGTAGTTTGAAAGAGTTGTCTGTGAACTTGAAATTAACTTAAAAGGAGTAATACATGGTGGCTGGTCTCTAACCACAAACATAAAATGCAGTTGGGCAGAACGGCGTCGTCCATCACAGCCACTGTATTCAAGATGGCCTCCACAAACTAGCGCCCACTCTTTTTGAAGACATAATTATACGCTCATCAATTTAGGTTTGTAAGTACATTGTTCTTTCTTTTTTTCCTTTTAAATAAATTCTCAAAGTACTGACTGCACCTTATTCTTAGTAGTCAGATTTGTCAGATTTGTGCTTTCAGCTTCACTTTTAACAGTTTTATAAAATCAGCCAGAGCTAGCAAATTCAATCATGAGCTTTTAGTTTGGGAACAGTTTGAGAAGGTACAACTATTTTAATCATTTTAGCATGGCTTCAAGTTTACCAGCAGAATAAACAGTGTTCACAGCTGAGCATTGGTTAAACGTGCTTCCCACCCAGTCTAACAAATACAAAGATCCTCTTTGTTGAGAAATGAGTCTTAGAAAAAATGCAAATCAAACACAGATGGATGGTAGGTGCACTTACGTGGCAAGATTGGTTGAGAGACGGTCGGACCACTTCATAGCCGATGATTACTTTCTAATAAGACAAAGTGGAGGATGATAATGTTTTCATCCTGTGAAAAAACGATTATTTTGGTAGTCGACTAGTCACCGATTATCTTTGCGATTAGTCGAGTAATCAGGTCATGCATCCATTGGACGTAAAACGTACAGCTTATTGCACCAGCAGCATCTGCTCTTATATAACTATCATTAGCTTACAGCTTGAAGTATTTAAGGTATGTGCTAACTAAAAATAAAGACAAGATGATAGTTTATTAAATTTTAATGAAATTTGCAGATTGTTTCGGTGGAGCATCTCACACTTCTGATAATCAGTTGCCTGCCTGACGTTTATTCAGCTGTGTAAAAACTATAACTTTAATCTCAGCCAAACCGATTTACTCAGGAACAAATAAAATACAAAAAAAAAGGAAACAATAACATTTTTAAGTTATCTAAGTGACTTATATATGTTTAACCTGAGTAGTGAAAGACGGCGGTGGGTTTGAAAACGATTAGCCGAGAGTCCGGTGTTCTCACGGGAGCTATCGAGCTGGTGGGTAACAGACGTCTCCAAAAACCTCGGAGCGCTTTTGTATGTGGTGTCTTGATAAACTGAGCAGATATTTGAGGTTTACACAGCTACATTCTCACCTGAAAATATGTTAAACTTTATTTCGTGACCCAGAAAGAATAATAAGAGTAATATTAAAACTAACTAGCTGCGCCATCCTTCTTCTTCTGGGTTTAACGGCGGCTGGCATCCTTGTACATGCAGTGCTGCCATCTTCCGTTTCAGTCCATTATTACACTCTTAAATCCTGCTACTCATTCCTGTGTCTTTTGGGATCTTACAAAGCTTCAAACGATGCGTCGACTTAGGGCTGCTCGATTATGGCAAAAATGATAATCACGATTATTTTCACTGAAATTGAGATCGCGATCATTTGACGATATTTATTTAACAATAACAATGACTTTGAATAATGACTTTAAAAAATAATATAAAATAGTGTGCAAATACTGATAACAGTGCAAATGTTTGCAATATAAGAAATAAATGAAAAATGTAAACATCTATGTTTAGTGAACTTTGCAGTGTTGTTCTGTGGTGCAGCTACGTACAAACTGTGTCTACTTGATCCACGTCTGACTCCGCGAACCCATAATGTTTCCACACCACTGAAGTTTTTTTTAACCTCTCTTTTCAACCAACGGCAGATCTCCTCTCCAAATAACTTCTGCTTAGCTTTCCGAGCTTCCCTCGGGTCGTCTTAATTGTTGTGACGCGTGTTTGAAATGCAGAGAGGTGCGCTCGATTTGCCACACGGAGCAGCGCGAGAGTAAAGCACGAGGGAGGTGCTAATAATTGGCTCAGTCATTTTTAATGATCGTTGAAAGACCAGATCGTAATCGTGATTAAAATTCGATTAATTGAGCAGCCCTACGTTGACTGTTAAATTAGTCGTAATCGTGACTAGTCGACTAATCGTGGCAGCCCTAGTTGAGATTTGTTGGGCAGCTAGCAATTTGTGAAAGGAACCATTAACTAAATTTCAATGTTGATCCAGATCTGGGATTTCTGCCATTCTGCATTTTGTTTTCTTCTTTTAGCCAAAAGTTAGAGCGCTCCTAGTCTATTCCCCGATGATCTAACCTCCGGGCCTCTCCATCGGGTTTTTAACTCGCGCTCGTGTTTGTCAGAAAATGAAACCTGGAAGGCAAATGATAAACAAATATAAACTGATATGATTGCTGCAGCTTTGCTGTTAGAGGAAAATTTGTGGAGGCTTGTGCTCCACCATGTGAACTGCTGTTTTTGATTGTGCCGGTTGGACCCCAGCGCGTGCAGCCAGCTGGTCAAACTTTATCCTTGTTGATGTTTTGCCCATTATTTTCAGTTTGTGGCCAAAGGGCTCGAGTTTCAGACGGTTTAAAACGTTGCCTTCTTGCTGTTTATTTATTGATTTTTCTTTTTTTTTCTTTCCCCCCCTTTTTGTCTCCTGCTGAAGGGTTCAGGTTTAAGAGCACAATTCGGCTGACTGATTAGACTTTAAAGGCCACACAAGTCTTTTACCGTCATATTTTAAAAGCATTAAGATATGGAGAATTTGGTACACAACAGCCCACAGAGGAAACTTTAAAACGATGTAATCTCACTGGATTTTCCGCCTGTATCGTGTGTGTTGCTTCAAACTGGCCTCATATGTTGTTAACTGATCAAATACAGAGTTGCTCATAAGCGAATTTAATATGTATTTATTACCCGACTGTCTACTTCAAAGTGCTTACAGATCAAGTCCATCTGTCAGAGAGTCTCACATTAAGATCTTTAAGTAGGCCTTCCACTGTCTTCTCTAAATATCCAGATGTTGCCGAGTTCACCATTATGCGTGGGTATTTACCAAACCTCTTGATCCTTCCTGTTTCAAAGGCCCCTTTGACCTCATCTTGCATCTTTACAGATAAGTTTTCCGAATTCTAGAGCCCAACTTTGAAGATTCATTTTGGCAGACCCGCATCAGGTCATAGAGAGAGCACGAAAGAGTTTTCTCGTCTTTGATGTGGTTTATCGAGGCGATTTCCCATAAACGTGACCTCGGTGAGACTTTTTTCCAAAACAAACTTTGCTGCAAGTAAAAAAAAACAAGACATCTCTTTACTGCAAGATTTTCAAACTTGTGAAGGACATCTATGTAATGGAGAAATGTGCTCTCTCTCTCTCCTGCTGAATCTTAAAGGAAATCAATGTTGTGGGATTTTTTTGTTTTGGAAATTACCGTAACTGTTTCTTGCCATCACTTTTATTTCCTTTTTAGTTTATGTTCATTCGTCCATCCATGAAGCGTATCCCAGCTGTCATAGGGAGCGAGGGGGGGACCAGTCTATTGCAGGGCTAACACATAGAGACAGACAAGCAGTCACTCACATTCACATATAAGGGCAATTTAGAATAATCAGTTAACCTAACTCCACTAACTGCATGTCTTTGGACTGTGGGAGGAAGCCAGAGTACTCACACAAATGCAGAAAGGCCCAGGCCAGATGTTGGAGTTGAACTCAGCACCCTCTTGCTGCGAGGCAACAGTGCCAGCACCAGTTTATGTTCATATACAAGTAATAATATGAGGATAATAAAATGTATGAATAACTTAACTGCTTGATTTGTGAAAGAAATGGCATAGAAATGGTCTACATCTGTTATTGAAACTGTAGATTTGAGCCCCTGGAAATAGCTGACTATACAAAATGACTATTTCCTTAACGGTTATTTCAGATATCTTTAAATTAAAGCTAAGAGTCTCGTCTTGATTGCCATATTCCTGCAAATTATCTAGACTCCTCTGTCCTCTGGCTTGTACTAAGAGCAAAGACACGATGGCACATTATAGCCGACATAATGCTGGCATGCTTGGACTGTTAGGACCTTCCTGCCTTAGAATTGATTGGCCTCTCATATGGATGCAGAATCCCAGTCTCCTGAGGATAATTGCTTCATCTAATAAATGCTGTGATCTGTTTCCCATCTAAATGGAGCTGTGGGAGTTGAAGACAGTTTTTGAGGTGAGACTGCGCATGTCTCACTCCTCTGGTCTGTCAGGACATCCCCACTCCCCTCAAGTCTGCAGCATTATACCCGGGTGGGTTTTCTCTGTATCTTTAACTCGGAGCCAAGCATCGATTGATTAAATCAGTGTCATCCTTTAAATCAGCTCTCAGTAAAACACCATCTTTCTCTTGCCTGCATTCGTTAAGAGCTTTGTTCAGAGTTTTATAGATTAAACACGTTTTTCATATTATCGTTTAAAGAGCAGCACAGGACATGTCACAGCCGTATGTTGGTACAACATGACACAAAATCTAGAAATATGTAAGAGTTTTAGCCCCCCCCCTGTGAGAGCCTACAACAGCCCGCGAGCAACAGTTCAGCTGAAATGTATTTCAGATCAAAGCTCAACCAAAATAAGACATTTGTATGCGCACATAAAATACCCTGTGCGGCTTAATTTGCAGCCTAAACGGTTTCAGTTACATTCATAAACAAGTCAATTCCAGTAATTAAGTAACATCAGCTGAATATATTCTCAGCACTGACACATTCTCCACTGAGAGCTTTCTGGGTTTTGAACTACAGTTGGCAGAAAGTTTAGTTGTAATGTTGATTTAACTAAGTGATAACAAAGAAATTAATGCAAAAATGACCAATAATGACCAAAAAAAAAGAACATCTTTAGCTGTCAAGAGACATCCAGTGGAAGTTTATGATGTAATGATTTTATGACTTTGTTCGGTCTGATTTGTTCTGAAATACGGTGAAAACCCAACTGAGATTTTCACGGCTTTAATGCTAGCAGTATATTCTACTCGTCATTCTTGTTATCCTCGGGCAGTCTGTGCTACAGATTTCCAGGCCAGTAGGTTGGATTATATATTTTTTTTCTTTGTATTTATTGAGAGCTGCACACTTGGGCAGAGTTCGCCCTATAAATAATTACATATTGTTGCAACAAAGGGGAGGCAAATTAAAGTTTCTGTTATATTTTTGTTCCTCACAATGACGTGCTGTAACAAACAACTTTAATCTCGCTCGTCTTTATATTAACCCCTCCGAACCCCCAGTTGCAGTCCTCGCATTTCACGTCTGAAATGGAAAGCATTTAAAGATGAGCCTCTCTTTATTGATCATCTTTTTTTCTGCCTCTAGGATACATTGCTCCGTGGAGTGGTCGTTTCTACTCTCTCTGGGACACCGGGTAAGCTCTGCTGACCTTCACACTCTCGCTGTCGATGGGACGCTTGTTCAGCCGTGTGTGTGTGTGTGTGTGTGTGTGTGTGTGTGTGTGTGTCCTGAGATGGATATTACCCCCCCCTCCCCTCTCAACATCCCAGAGGGGAAAACTGTAGAGCACAAGCTGTGTTGAAGTATTGTCTTACTCCCAAAAAGCACCAGGCAGTGCTATGTTTTCCAAACGCTCCACAGTGTTTGATATTTCCGAATCAATGCCCCCCCCCCCCAAAATACCCCAGTTTGCTGACTAAAGCAGTAACTGATGCCTCCCCCTTCCTTTCCTTCGGAGGCTGATACTAATTCCTTAATGTGCTGTGTGTTGTTTCTTTCCCAGCTGTAATAACAAAACACTTGAGAGAGAAATATTTAAGATTGTACAGAAAGTGCTGTGTAAAAGCCCATTAGGAATAAACAGGGAACACACAGATCAGAAACTACTAACAGAAAAGTACATTACTCATCAGTAGTGCTAAATTTCTTCATATTTTACCATAAGCATGTGGGGGAGCAAAATTACCCCCCGACCACACTCATAATTCTTGAGTTAATCAGGAGGATCTATTGTATAATTTGTCTCAACACTCCCAAAGCATTCAGCTCGACATGAATTACACGTCTCTTCCCTCCTTCCGATTTCTCCCCTCCTCCCTTATTCCTACATGCAGCTACGCTAAGATCCACATCCCCATCATAGCGTCGGTGTCGGAGCACCAGCCGACGACGTGGGTGTCCTTCTTCTTTGACCTCCACATCCTGGTCTGCACCTTCCCAGCGGGCCTCTGGTTCTGCATCAAGAACATCAACGATGAACGCGTGTTTGGTAGGGGTCTTTAATGAATGAAAACAGGATTTTTCTCTGTGGTGTGGAGAACGAGGAGTGATCCAGTATGTTATAAACCACCACAAATGTTTTTGTTTTGTTGTTTAAGTCGTTTAAACCTCTTTAATCTAGACACAGTGATGCTGTCCGTGTTCAGACTAAAACATCTCAACCACAATTTAGTGACTGGCCCTGAAATTTTATGCAGACACTCCTGGAGTCACCTGACTTTTAGTGCCCCCACTAACTTTTTATTTTATGTCTTAATGAGGTTCGCTTGTGTATTTTTAAATGAATAGTCTCTATAAAAGAATTTCCATTCATCGTTTTATCGTCTTCATCACATTAAATTTGAAATGTGTAAAGATGGAGGTTACTCTCTTTACTTGCTTTCTTGTCTTCAGTATGTTTTATCTAACAAGGGTGAAAAAAGCTGCAAAACTCATTTAAAGATGTGCAGTTCTGAGACTTGGATGAAGCCTATTAGAGAGCTAGTCAGGACCCACCTACCAGTAAGCAGCAACACCCCTAAAAATGGGCAATGTTGAACCCTAATATGGTTCAAATGGGTGTTGATTTTTAAAGAGGCTGCTTTAGGGTTGGAGAATTTAACAGTTTATGCAGCCAGCCTCATCGGGCCCTTTCAGGAACCTTTTATTTGCTGTTTTTTCACCCTACTTGATTTATCCATCATTGGCATCTTCAAGTTAAAAATTTATAGAAAACAGACAAACCTGTGTACAATGGACTTTTGTCGTGAAGACGGAGCTGAGCGGAAAGACGAAGCTTTCTTTTACTAGTTGGTTTACTAGCAGTCCAGACCCCTTCACCTGTGGTTATGATTTCCTAGTAATGACTGAAACTGAAAGAGGAAGTTGTCTAATGCAAGTAGCTGAAATTAATTTCCTCTGCAGGGTAGCAGGGCTCATCCTTAGAGATAAGGTAAGGAGCTCAGATATTCAGAGGGATCAAGGAGTAGATCCGCTGCTCGTGTGGTTGAAAGCAGCCAGTTGATATGTTTTGGGCATCTGGTTAGGATGATTCCTGGGCGCCTGCCTTTGGAGGTGTTCTGGCTATGCCTCCAACCTGGGAGGAGACTCCAGGGTAAACTGAGAAACCACTGATGAGTTTATCTTTCTCATCTGCCCTGAGAATGCCTCGGGATCCCCCAGGAGGAAGTGGAAAGTATGGCTGGGGAGAAGGATGTTAAAATCCCCTAGTCTGCTGCCACGACAACCTGATGTTGGATATGCCACGGACAGATGGTTATTGTTGTCAGTGATATAATGGTGAAATTCCACCTGCTTTTAGCAGCACATAGATGCATTTTAAGCTCGGTAATTGGATGCTTCTTATTGAAACCCACCTAAGAAGTCATTTATCCTGTCATGTATAGAGCTTCTACGTTTGACTTTTCAGTGAAGAACCAGGTATTTTCTAATTTGTCTTGAGAAATTTAACGACCGATAATTCAACCAGGAGGATTTCATGCCCATCGCAGCCTTAAATTCTCCAACAGTCAGGCCTGTAATATTGTCTATGGAGCAAATAAATAGGCATTTCAGAGCCAGGGACTCCTGAAATAGCTCCTCTGTCATACCTGATTCATTGTCAGCTGGGATTAGCTCTTGAATTAATAATGGTTCTGTTTTTAGTGGAGTTTATTTGATCATCTGTGATTAAAATGCATGATTTATATAAAATAAAAATAAAAATGGGTAGAATGTCGTGACTAGCGGACTGGTCTGTGGACAGCGCATCCTTTCTCGAGTAGCTTTAAGCACTCTCAGCTTTGAAAAAGCCTGAAATAATGAGATTGAACTTCTTTATACAGCAGCTTAAATAAAACTTAGGGTTAGACAGCCAAGATGGAGGGCAAGGAACCCTTAAGTGCTGGAAACAAAGTCCTTCAGCAGCCCGTTTCTCCCACAGACTTAATTAGCCAATTACAGGTATTGATTAGCCACGCACCTGTTGAGCCGGGTCGGTGCTTTTCAAGGACAAAGAACACCCAGTGCTCCTCTATTCAGGGTTTGAGATCTGCAGTGCTAACATAGACTGATTATTCAGTGTTACTCTAACAACTCAATTTCTCTTTCCGTGTCTTTATCTGCCTCCAACACCGACTCATTTTGTCTCTTTTATATTCACGCCGTCTTTCTCCTTGTCTCACCTTTGTCGACTTTGCTTTCCTTATTCTCGGTTTTTTAACTTTCTGTCAACCACCACCTTCTTTGTCTCCTGCCTTCCAGTGGCTCTCTATGCCATCAGTGCAGTCTATTTTGCCGGCGTGATGGTGCGTCTGATGCTGACTCTGACTCCGGTCGTCTGCATGCTGTCAGCCGTGGCTTTCTCCAGCGTCTTTGAGCATTACATGGGAGACGACACAAAGAGGGAGAAACCCCCTGCTGAGGACAGCAGCGACGAAGATGACAAGAGGAACTCCGGGAACCTCTACGACAAGGTCAAAGCACGGCAGAGAAACTGCTGAATTTACACTTCACTGATTTTCAGTATTGATAATGCTACACTTTGTTGATGTCATGTGACAGGTCAAGTTGCTGTGGGACTAAACTTTTGTCTGGTAAAAATGTAACAAAATGAACAAAGTCAAAAAGCTGTCAACGAGTGAACACCCGTGGGGTGTTTCACACTTTCGTGGTACCTTTTGGGGTTTGGATTCATCAGTTGCGTATTTGTCAGCTTCCCTCCTCACTCCCCACCAGTTTGGATAAACTGTGATTCAGCTGTGATTCAGCAGCAACTGTTTGATTCTGTTGCCATAATTTTAGCCGCCTTTGTTGAACGTTGAACTCTTTTCTGTAGTCACGGCTGAGGATGCGTCAGTTGCAGCCTGCCACGTAATTCCATCTTTCTTTTTTTGCTTTCTCCAAAACACCTCTCTCTTCTAGAGAGGTTTCTAAAATGCCTTTTTTATCTGAAACGACACACTTCATAAAAATACTGGCAAAATGGCAAATATCAAAGGTCGTCGGCCGAGTTTGCACACAGGTTTGGGAACATTGAATGACGTCAACACGTTTAGATCTGAAATTTGGGGGTTAAGCCCTTTTTGTGTTTCAGTTTTGTCCTTTGAATGTGTCATGGTTACATGTGGATACTTGATTAGTTAGCAGCTTAATTGAGATGTATTTATTCAGGTAGTCTAATTAAGATCAGTCTCATTTAAAAGACAAACCTGTGAACAAATTCCATGCATATCACATTGCATTTTGACCGCTCGCTGACACAAGGCACCAACAGGAGAAACAAGGGAAGAGCTTAAAATAGATTCAGCTTCTGGTGCAGTGGTTGGCCCCCTGTTGTGTCTAGAATTTGCCCAAAGCTTCACTACTTAAAAGTTATAAGGGGGTTGTAAGCTGCCAGAAATTGAAATTGGACTTCAATTTCTGACATCTCCTGAAAGTTTTCGGCACCGCTTCCAGATCCCCGTGCGCCCACTGCAATTTACAGCAACAGAAATCCCACTTTTCCTGCAGTGATGGGTTCAAAAGTTAATTTTCATGTCTATCATTCATGCTGTCCCTCTTTATTGAGTTTCAGCATGCAGTTTGGGTGTGAGAGGAAGCAACTGAAGGTGTTAATTTGGTACAAATCATCTCCGGTGCTTTTTTTTTTTTTTACTTCAGCTTTCTTGCTGCTCATCACAGGGATTTTCTCGCATTTCTCACTGATATGTCTTCACACAGTAGAGGAAAAAAAGCTGAGGATACTCTAAAATACTTCTCTTATTAGTTCATTCAATAATTTATCGCACTCAATAATTCAGATTTCTGGAAAGCTTCAGACTCGTTTGCCAACCCTCCTGATGGTGTTTTGTCTCCCCCTGCAGGCCGGCAAGGTGCGCAAACACGTGTCGGAGCAGGAGAAAGCAGAGGAGGGTTTGGGTCCAAATATCAAATCCATAGTCACCATGCTCATGTTGATGCTGCTCATGATGTTCGCCGTCCACTGCACGTGGGTCACCAGCAACGCCTACTCCAGCCCCAGCGTGGTGCTCGCCTCATACAACCACGACGGGTGAGAGCGCTCCGCCGTGCCGTACATGGATGTAAAGCAACTGCAAAGAGCAGAGCAATGCCTCCCATGATGCTTCATAATGAAGAAGGATGGGCTCCTCCACCTTGCATGCAAATTAGCACGTATGTGTGTTGTGCAGCAAGAGAGCCGAGCATATTTCACAAGGGGATTGGAGAAATAATGATATGTGAGGCCGTACCTGATTAACTTTTAATCTTCTAGGTCACAGTAAGCATCTCTTAGGTTACAAAAAGCTGATGTATTATTCTCTCTCAGACTCTTTACAGGCATAATTATTCTTTTAAAGCATTGAGGAGGAAATATTGGAGACCGAGACTAAGTGGTAGATGCAAGTTCTCATGCATATATTAATGGTACTACAGTAGTTCTCAGACAGTGGTTTAGCTATGCTGCTGGGAGCAGCGTGCCTGTCACTCTTTTTCTTGCACGTATACGCCCACACACACAGACGTAATATGATTACCATACCTGGAGCTAATTGGTTCCCTGGCTTCGTGTCTGCTCCCTCTGCGCGAGGTAAATTTAGGACGTGAACATTTAAAGTGCAAGGTGTTGTTTTTTTTGTTTTTTTTTAAACCCTGAGTTCATTATATATGGATGCTCTATTTTCAGCTGTTGTTGCCCTTCTGATTTAAAGTCCTAAATGAAATATTAATGGCTTCCTCAGCTATATGCCTGCCAACCAACACGGTTACCTGTCAACCTTATTTTTTCTTTTTTTTTTTCTCCCCCTTGTTAGGACGCGTAACATCCTGGATGACTTCAGGGAGGCTTACTACTGGTTAAGACAGAATACTGATGAGCACGCACGTGTCATGTCCTGGTGGGACTACGGTTATCAGATAGCGGGCATGGCTAACAGGACCACTTTAGTGGACAATAACACGTGGAACAACAGTCACATAGCGCTGGTAAGGGCTGTTATCGTCTTGTCTTCATCTGTCTTCTTCCCCGTTTTGCTCGTGGATCAAAGCACGTGCAGAGAAATCAATGGTTTCTTCTCGCAGCTGCTGGATGATTAGCAAGCTCTTCACTTATTTATTTATTTCTTTTTAAATGTAATTGCCATATTGTATAAAACGGCCGCTTCCAACAAGCCAGATAATCTTGTTTCCTTAAACTTTTTCCTATTGAATTTACACTGTAGGGAGATTTCAGTTAATTGCTGTCAGATTCTGTGGGTTTGATTTATTCGTTTTTCCTCTCTGCTGCCAAATGTAGACAAATGTTTTTGCCTTTTACTTAAAGCCCCTCTAGCTTTCTTCACTCTCACTTCCTACCCAATGCCTGTTGTCTCGTCGGCATCTGTCCACAGGAAACGTCATCAGAGTATCATGCATCACGGATCTCCGTTTAACAGCTCTCCTTTGTCCCGCAGCTCTGCCGAAGCGTCGTCTCTTGTGAAACGGGTAAAGCTCAGTTAAAGGATAACTTCTCAATCGCCATCACTTTCTTTCTAGGTGGGGAAAGCCATGTCTTCCAATGAGAGTGCAGCCTACCAGATCATGAGGTCCCTGGACGTGGACTATGTGCTGATCATCTTCGGAGGTGTAATTGGTTACTCGGGCGACGATATTAACAAGTTCCTGTGGATGGTGAGGATTGCCGAGGGTGAGCACCCTAAGGACATCAGGGTGAGTGTGTAACACAGCAGCAGCGCCTGTAAATAGAGCTCGAGTTTTCTCTGAGAAGGAATGGAGCTGGACTTACACAGCAGTAAAATCAATGTTTCCTCTTACAAAAGTCAAGGTGCTTTTTCAAACCCTTCTCACCTGAACAGAAGCAAAGATTACTCATTCCATTGTTCAAAAACAAGACGTCAGCCAGGAAACCCTGAGATACACTCACAAGGTCCCTTATTCATGACTTTCATAACAGCTGCTATTTGTTATCGGAGCAGAAAACGGACCAGCGTACGTGCAGGGCTTTTCTGTTCTTTGACTGCTAATAGAGTCTCAGACTGCAAACCAGATTTTACCCATTTATACACACTTCCAGAGTGCTCTTTGTTAAGGGAGACTTACTGTGCTCATTTCCAACGCCACATTTTTATTCTCGAATAAGTGTGGCTGTGTGTGTTCCAGAGCTCTTGCACTGGGCCTTGGTGCCATCTATCATTTCGCCATCTATCATTTCATCCACTACCTGAAATGAGCTTTAACTCCTCTTGCTTCAGCACCAGCCTCTCTTTTCGTCATTTATCTTGGAATTGGGTGCCCCTCGTAAACAGCAGGTTAGCAGGGTTAGAGCTGTGTGTGTGTGTGTGTGAGATGAACAGATTAAGGATATCCGCTCTCACTGACATCATGAGGAGACGAGAGTAGAAAGTGGAAAGATGTTTAATACCCTGACCCCTGGCTGTCAGGAATGATCTGTAAATATACAAATTTATTGCAGATAGTATGATGGAAAAAATGAATTTATAATAGAAAATAAGGAAAATGATAATAGATCTACTTTAATGAATACAACAAATTTGTTCTTTTGCATCATGGATTTGGCATTTAGTGTCTTGTGGCAGAACATATTGACTGGAGGAAGTGCCGACTGAATCACAGGCCTTTTGATTGGTGGACACCACACTCTGCCTGTTCCTGAGCCATAGTCGTGCTGTTATATTAAAGCATTTTTCTTGTGAACTTTAATTTTTTAGCATTCTGTACTTTGCTGTTGTTGCTTCCTGACTTTCACGGTTGTTTGGCTAATTTCGTTTTTAACCGAAGAGAGAATTGCATTATGTTACCCTCGTAACTCAGATCCAGTTTGTATTCACAATGAATTTTTACAAAGAAAGACGAGTAAACACGAGTTTCAAGGACAGTGACGCTATTGTGTTTCATCAATACTGCTGCATTGCAAATCAGCAGAAAATCCGGCAGCGGGACTGTGGAGGCGCCAGTTTTCAGGCTTCAGTCGCACAGGCCGGCGGTCGACAACCACGGGGAGAAACAAAATAATTGTGTATTGCACGGTCAGTTTGTGAGTGGTTGTTGGCAGGCACTATGTGAAATTGGTCGCAAAGAGGGGTCTACATTGTAAACCACCGTGCGGCACCACCTTGGTTTGGTCACCTTTCTGCTGCAACCAGCGTGTATCGAGCGTAATTTTTATTTTGAGCGCAAACAGTTTCTAGTTTCACTACTGCTCTGCGAGTGTTTGCAGACCAGTTGGTGCCTTCAATTCAAACTGTGGGTGACCACAGCAATCTGCTAGATACCAAAGCAATCAAAAGGAGGACTCTCTTTGACAGCTGCTAACACGATCTCCAGGGTCCAATCGGGGAATACAGCGAGCCCGTCCCACTGAAAGCCAAGTAACGTAGCAGAAGCTACTTTAGAGCTCTGTGTGATCATAGTAGGGTCACCACAGCAGGCAGCAACCGTTTTCTTGACACAACCCCAAAGGACGATTTGGGTCTTCAGCTGGAATTAAACCAGCAACTATGTGAAGCAAACGTGCAGACCACTATCCCAGAACAATCTACCCACTGAAACAATTAAGCAGCAATTTAACTTGGATCAAGGTTGGAATTTTCCAGTTTAGAGGCATTTCTTATATTCTTCCTACTCCATTTAATTCAATAAGGCTGTGCTAATTGTATGAATGGCTTCAAGGAACAAACATGCTGAATATTACCTGGTTCCTCTTTAATGACAAAACACACAAAGTAGTGTATAAGCTGCGCACACATACTTGTGGTTAGGCATTGATTTTGTGTGACTGTGGCTAGTTTAGTAGAAAATTTAGACTAATGCTGACAAAAATACATTAATTCCACAGTTATAGAGTTTGTGTGTTAGAGCTTTGAATCGTGCACTGAGATGAGTAGTTTTTAAAATGATGGCCAATTGATTACTTGAGCGGTTTAAGAGCAGTTTTTCCCCTTTGCTGTCATTCAAATGCGTCCTCTCACCACTGGATCCATCTAGTGTGAACTTTCTACTCCTGATGCTACGTACTTTTGCCATCTGGTGATTTTTCTGGGCCCTCCTCTGTGTCTTCCTTAGGAGAGCGACTACTTCACTCCTCAGGGAGAGTTCAGAGTGGATAAGGCGGGTTCACCAACTCTGCTCAACTGCCTCATGTACAAGATGTCTTACTATCGCTTTGGTGAAATGCAGGTAAGAGGAGAAGTTCTCATTACTTCATCAGAAACTTTGCTTGTTTCTTAGAATTAGTTTTGTGTATGTGAGGACTTTTCAGGACAGAAGAGAAACCCTCCACTGAATCTTTCTGGAGTTAGGATCCACTTCACACTTACAAATGGATGAAATGATGAGCAGCTGCCACAATCAAGGAAAAACGTGTTGTATTTTATGCAACATGGAGCTTTATCAGGCAGTAACGAGCAGCTACCTCTGCCAAGCGTGTAAAAACGTCTCGCTTACAGTAAAAGGCTGACAGACAGGTGGAACGGGTCTTTAAGGAGGCGCCTTAGGGAGCTCCTGAAGTTTGTAGAGGGGTTGTCGGAGGGGAACGAGAGGCTGCGAGAGGAAATATGAAGGATTGGCAGAAGCTTTGAAATGCGCCACGGCTACTTCTGGCAGGTAGCAGAGGAGAGATGAGACGGATCCTTCATGCCAGGTGCTCACATCCCTACCGTACAATCGACGCTTCCGCCATCTGCGGACAAACAGCCAAAGCTCTGCATAGCTTAAAGTGCTGTTTCTGGGTTAATGGCATGGAGAAACCGAGGCACGGAAGGAGTAGGAGGAGGACAGGATGGAGAGATCCCAAAGACAGAAAAGTGTTAGAATAGCCGGAGCAGATTCCAGTTATGAAAACAAGATGTGACAAGTGTAAACTGAGGCTTGGAGGACACGAGGAAGAAGCCGATGAGCAGAGCGGAGGCAGCCATTCATGATTGTCGAGAATGCACTTTATAGTCATGGACCAATATTAAACTGTAATGCTGAGAATGCATAATAGAGAACAGAATAGAACTCATGATGAAAAGAGAACCCATGGACTGGTTACTTTGAAGCCCCCAAACTAACTCATTTAGTTCCTTTTATATTAAAATGACAGGTTAAACCACACTAATAAAAGCACATTAAGAGGCTAAGATCTTGTTGCTGCTGATATTCTATTATTTTAAAGTCTTTGTCCTGTGGAGCAGCCTGAGGAACAATTACAGGTTAGAACACAAAGTGAGGAAATTGGACAAGAAGGAAAAACAATGGCGGCAACCTAGATGGAGGCTTTTACTTTGAGAATAGAGTTGACATATTTTCGAGGGACACAGTAACAGTTGCAGAGTAAGGAGGATGAGCAATCAAGGGCCTTTTTAGAGCAGAATTACGGGGACGAGAGGTTTTATGCTGCTCGTGGAAAGTGTAATCAAACTCACTGTTTATCTTTCATAATCGAGTTTAAAATGTTTGCTCTCGTCTTTTTCTGTTCAGACCTAATTTAGTTTGAATCTGTAGAGCTGCTTTGTGCTGAGATGGATCAAAGGTGATGCTTTAGTAGTGGGAGGAGAGGCTCCTGCCTTTCGTTTCACTTTTATTTTAGGAAACTATTTGACATTTTGGGAAATTCACTTGCAGAAAGAGTAAGATGAGAACACTGATGCTATTCGTGGCTATTCAGTTAAAACGTGGACACTGCCAGCCTGCTTCTGTCTAGAAGTAACAGAATAGCAGCGATGGGGAGGAGTGGGTTTTAGTCATTAAGCAGCTTGTAGATAATTCAACCAAAGTCTCTCTCTGGAAGCGAGCCTTGCCACTGCATCTATCTTGGCACCGCCTCTGGGTAGTTGTTTTAAAGCATCTATGTAATTGTATAGTGTAGCCTTAACGGTTGAAATCACCAGGAAATAAAAATCCGCTTATATGCCTTAACAGATTTGCTGGCTTTGATCCAAAGTAAGCTTTAAATCTCATAAGGTGTATTTCTATTACACGTGCTCAGTTTGTACACCTTGTTACAGCTTCAATCCTGAGTGATCAGTGATCACTACTCATTCCACCAGACCACTGACTAAATGCCATGCTGATTTACATTATAGCAAGAATAAGCCGGGAGAAAGTAAAAAGGTACACTCTGGCACATCTGTACCGCAGTAACACAAAGTCTTCTGCCAACACGGTGCACATCCCACAGGTTATTAAAGTGTTCAAACACAGTTGAATGCAGGACAAAATATGAGGAGCAAGTGATGGTGTAGAAAAAATGATAAAGAAACACCACACTTATTAATGCCAGTAGCCTGAGGAGGCTGTGGTGCAGCTGTTTGAGACAAGGGTCTGCACTGTTGCGAGTCCGCAGCCTTCAAAGGTTTGTTTATATTGTGATGTCTAATCTGAACTTCATACATTTTGCCCCTGAAAAATGCTAAATGAATAATAAAATCCTAAAAACGTTAATAATTTATTTTCTCAAAACTAATAAAAACTAAAGGTAAACGTGCCTCGAAAAATAAAATGAAACTAAAATGAATAATCCCAGTTTGTAAACTAGAATGACAACAAATAAAATAATTTAAAAAACCATTAAAAATCAAAAACTATTATAACCAGCAATATGTTTGGCTAATGTATTCATTTTTTTATTGGTGTTTGGCTCTTTAGGAGCTGGGATGGCAGCTTCTATCGTGTCTTTGTTATCATGTGTTTGGTTTGACGTCATTTATATTTCCGTGACACAAATTCAGTTCAACTTGAAGGATTTCAGTTTGTCCTCTCAGCTGGTTTCTGCTTTCTAAGCAGCTTCGGTCCAGATGAAAATGACAACAGGTGAACTGAAGAGGCAACAACAAGACGACCCCCTCAGGAAACGAAATGGTTTTGCAGGTGGTGGGCACAACTCCTCCTCTCTCATTGTCCCACCTGACTACGTTTTCGTTTCTTCTCACCTCTGATAGTAGGAGGTGGTGCCTGGTTGCACAGGTAGTCACATTCCTTTAGGATGTCGTGTTCACATGTGCTGTCACAAGAAGGCTCACTGTGTCTCCCTGCACAGTCTCAAGCGTGCGGTGGAGATGAGGAGAGGTGAGCAGGGCTGAAAAAAGCCTTCACCTAAGCAGGACCTAGATCTACACCTCTGTGCAAGAAGGAACTAGAGGAATGCTACAAGATCCCTACACAATCCTCTCTAGTGGGCTGTTCATGTGCGTGCTTCCGACTGGCCGGCACCATGCAGCTCAGTTGGCACTTGCCATTGTTGCCTGCAACAATTATCTGTGGAGAGACTAGGTCATCAGTGCCTGCCAGTTGTGGTATTCTCTGAATGCCAGTTGAGCTGCACTGTCTGTGATTACAGGACCCACTAAGGGACATCAGGCCCTTATGCCACCGTAGTACATGTATATTGCAGCTTCATCAGAAATATGCACTTCAGTGGCCCACTAGAGGTCGATTTGTAGGGTTCTGGCAGTGCTTCTGTTCCTCCGCACATGAAGGAGCAGATACATGTTCTGCTTCCTTGGTCGATGCCCTTTTATGGGCAGCTCTCCTCATGTGTTGGTCTGTCTCCTGGTATCTCCGCCACACTTGGCGAATCTGCTGTGGTCTAATTGTGTAACTAGTAGAGTGACAAGAACGACAGAAAAATCAGTCGAGAAGGAATTTGGGGTTGTTTTGTTGCCTCTCCAGTGTACCTCTTCCCACCTTCCTCTATAAGAAGACAAACAATTGCACTGCACAGTTTCATACGTTCCTGTCACTGATAGCTGCCAGAAAATCAGATAAATAAACCTGCTCGTCTCTCAGCTGGATTTTAGGACGCCGCCTGGCTTTGACCGGACACGTAACGTTGAGATCGGCAACAAGGACATTAAGTTCAAGTACCTGGAGGAGGCGTTCACTTCAGAGCACTGGCTGGTCAGGATCTACAAGGTGAAGGACCTGGAAAACAGAGAGCCGCTCGACCACAAGCTCCGTAGTGTCGTGCCCAAGCAGAAGTACACCTCCAAAAAGGTAACGACATAGAGCATGTGTTCATTCAGTCTTTTTATTTATTAATTCTTTAAATGTACAAAAAGTTGCTTAAAAAAATTAATTTAAATCCTACCAATTCTAATATTTACAGAATGTTTTCTTTTTATTTCGACCTCATTTCTCTAACCAGACCGCCAAGAGGAAGCGAGGGCACATCAAGAACAAACTTGCCATGAAGAAGGGCAAGAAACTCCAAAAAAAATAACGGCGACGAATCGTGAACTGTAGGAGAACAAACGTGAAGAAACCTCTAAACACCAATGATGAAGAACACAGGTGCTGTTTTATCTGGCAGTTGGTCTCGGGCGCTTGTCTCTAGAGCGCCCTCGTGTGTCGAGGATGTGTCATATCTGGTTAGCTCCAGAATTGTCGTTCGTTTTTTTTGGTTTTTTTTCCTGAGGACGTTTGTCTTGCTTTTTCTTCTACTGTTTTTTTTTTTTTTTTCCAATTCTTTTTATTTTTTATTTTTTTTATTACTTTGTACTTGAATGTGTGGTGAGGCATAGGGCTGCTTTACTGGGTCCAGCGTTGATTTAATTTTTGTGATGTTAATTAACTGCTTATCAGTACAGGGATCGGGTGAAGGCGAAACAAGAGAAGACTAGGAACATTTGCACCAAAGACCCATCGACCTTGCTCCGTGGCACATGTGAACTCATTACTGGGAGCGAGGAGGCAAAGCAGTGAAAGCCGAGGACTTTGTTCCTGACTCGTGTACAGAAGGACAGTATGCGGTATGGAGGAACGTCACCGTCTACGCACAGCCCTTCTGTAATATTAACCTTTTTGTCATCATCTCTTTTCGGTCTTCTGCCTGGCTTCCTGACCCCTGTTTTCCCCACAGATTCTCTGGGGAGAGAAATTGGCCTAATATGTAAATATGCGATATAAAGAGAAACTGTCTAAAAGGATGATAATATATTGGATTGTTGTGGTGACTTTTTAAATATGCAGTTTCTGGGGTTTTTTGTTTAGTTTTTTTTTCTTCCCAGTTTTTGTGCGATTGTTTGATTTTTGTTTGACAGCATTTAGAACAGTGAATGCAATAATTCTTGTACAGAGGGGCTTGAGATTTTTGCTGACAGAATGAATTTGAATGTGAATTTTTACACCCCCCCCTGTTTCCCCCCCCTCTAAATGCATAGATTGTACATTTCTGCTGCTAGGGTTTTAAAGACGGAAACAAGCAACTGTGTGTACAAAGTAGTGATTAATAAATTAGGCCTCCCTTCCTGCAGGGGGAGCTCTCTAGTTCAAGTGAGCAAAGCCTAGTGCCTCATCGCCGGTCGTCCATCGCCTGATTTTTATCTTTCCTTTTAATTTTTACGTTTGAGTTTGTGGCTGTCTACTTTTGTTTAAGCTCATCGTGTGTCAGAATGGCGGCTTCGCTGCTTCAACCAGACTGAGGCGTTGAAAACTGGAAATGTTCATAATATCTGGAAATGGACTGGTGAACTGTGAAGGGGGGGAGTGGGGGCTACATGGTATACAGGCACTGAATCTAGAAAAGATGAACTGAATGAGAAACTATAATGGACTTCCATCTCTGCCTGTAACATAAGATGGATCAGTGAGAATAAGACTAACAAATGTCTGTGGTACTCTGAAGCTGTGTCCCTGTCCTGTACTGTATACTACTGCTGCACTAATAGATGTTTGTACAGCAGGCGGTTGAAATAATCAATTTCCCAGTTAATGTTTTTTCCTGAAAACGGTCCTCAGAGCCAGTTGTGATGTCTTTAACTTTTTACTCATTGAAAGCATACTGAGAGTAACCCTTGAAGCTCTGAAGTGAAAGGTCAGGGCTGCTTATAAAACAAAATGATTGTGCATCAGAACTTAGTGAGGGTGGTCACTTGGAAAAACCTGAAAACTAAGGTCTTTTAGGAGTTTAATTCTTCTACTCTGCCAGAGTAGCTTTCCATGATTCAGTTCAAAATAATCCTTATTCTTTGAAATCTCTTCAGAGAGATTATCCTCTGTCTGAAACAAACTCTAGTGGCCTCTCTGATTTTAAGCCAACTTTATTCTGATTGGCTGAAGGTTGTTGGCTGAGATGACCACATTGGTGACATCTGCTCTGTGACATCATACAAAGCCAAGATGAGACAGAGTGCTTAATATGAGCATCCAGCATTGTATTTCTACATGAGGCTGAAAAGGAGGAAAACTTAATGGATTGAGAAGTCCACAAAATAATCACTTTTTTCTGTCTCTAAAGAGATTTGGAAGCTCCTTACGTTTTTAAAAGCTATAACGGTGACATTTTACTTTACTGAGATTTTTAAAGCAGTCAAGTTTACAGCTGTTCATTGATCCATTCATTCTTTTGTTCAATGCAGTATTAAAAAGGGCTGCATGCTTTTGAATAGGTTAGCCTGTGGTTGCCCTTTAGTCTATCAGTTAAATTTTCTGTAAATTGTCCAGAAAAAGGTGTTTTAATTTTCCAGGTGCTGAGATTAGGTCTGTAATTGATAACAAAAAGAGTTTGGAATTACTTTGGAATAATCCACTTTAATACAGTTGTTTGTTTGTTTTTTATTCTGCACCCCACATCATGTTTAGAACTGGTGAGTTGGTTCCTGATACTGATATTGATTATATTTCAGAAAAAACCCCTGATATTTATCTTTAAAAAAGACTTATAATATAAAATATTTCTATCCTAGTAGTGTTAGTTGGAGTATGCGGTATGCAGCTGGGACACAGCTCTGAGTGGTAGCCTATGTCTTATTCTATGGGCATTGCACTGTTCTCCGTGTGTTTGGGTTCTTAGACTCTGTCTAAAAACTAATGTGTGCACGCTTCTGTAACTTTTTTTTTCTTGATCAAAAAAGTGACACATGAAAAGACTAACACATCATGCAGATATACTTGTTTTGTCACATTTTACAAAATGACTTTTGTTCATATCGGGTGGGTTTTTTTTGTTTTTGTATCTGACTGCTTTGATCTCTCAAACTGTCACCGTTTGAGGCTTCAGACCTTCGACATGCCACTTCATTGTTCTGTTACACAGAGGACAGAGTTCAGACTAAGCCTTAATGTGATGTACAGTGTGCTCCTCTTTTGTGCTCATTTGTTTTGTTTGTTTAATTAGGAACAGCAGAATGGTTGCTCTGAATTTCCTCATGTCTTAGAATCTCGGTGGCATCTGTCCCCGACAACATCTTTCTTTTTTTGTTGTTGTTCTAATGCAGTCTCTTCCCACATGTGTCTGCTCATCTTCAGTTTACATTTTTACATTGTTGTTCTGTTCAGCCATCTTTGAATATACACTTTAAAGAAAACACTGGTGTGTGTGTGTGTGTGTGTGTGTTGTTGCTGGTCTTCTCACTTTGAAAGCGTTGCATGGACCATCTGTAAATGTGACTTTAAACATAGTTGAATGCAAAATGAACCACTTGATGGCAGCATTACACTTTGGGTGAAGACTTTTGCTTCTGAGTGTGCAGCAGTACGCATAAAGAACACTCATTGTGGAGGGGGTGAGATCTCTTTATTTGGTGGCGGATGAGTAGCTGTTCTTCAGCCACTTATTATTTAATGCGATCTCAACTCGTGATTTCTCCAGTGAAGATACTTCACTCTATATATTTACTTTTGTGCTGAAAATAATCTCACTCTGGGCCTTAGTGCAGCTTTTGAGTTCACCCTGTCTGAAATGACCCTAGCTCCCCATTTATTTGAAGTCTTCCGATTGGTTTCCCCTTGCAAACAAAAGGTTTGAACCTCAGGTGGGTGGAGCTTCTGTGCCTGAGATCACCATATTGGGGATATCGGTTCCCTCTGACATCATTAAGAGCCAAGAGTAGAAATAAAAAAAGACTTAAACTGAGCCTTTAGAGCAGTCTGAAGTCTGAGCTTTTGGGCTTACAGGGTTTGCTTGCACATGTTGCTGAAACCATTATTTGCAAGAGTATGCATGTGACAGAAAATAAGGAAATGCTTGGTGAGTCCCCTTTGAGCAACGGTGCCTGGCAACAAAGCCTAAGAATGATGTATTAAAGCAGGTGGCACTTTAACTCCTGACAGTAATGAGAAGCGTTGCAGCAGTGCTTAGATGTAAAGTCTGCAGCCACACTAGCACTGCGAATCTTGGCATCGCTACAGCGATATGAGTCGGGCGGTGAATTGGCCTCATGGTGGTGCCAGAAGAAAGGACATCTCCATATAAATCAAAAGGTTTCCCTTCTACAGCTGGCACTACTTCACCAAAAGCTCAGCTTTAAATTTCAAATTATTTTAGTTTTCACCAGCTGAAGCGTAAGACTTGTAGGTGAAATTACTGTTGAGGATGATGCCAATATGCCACAGGCCTTTTCACTGCATGTTACAGCAGGAAAAACACAGGTGTGAAAATAAAAATTGTTTTGGGAACACATGGGGTTTTTTCCTCTCCCCTTCTGTTCTTTGCATTGGAAGAGTTTACAAATGCCATTTGCTAAGCTTGCTAGCATTAGC